AATAGACTATGTTGATGTCAGACATAAATAGACTATGTTGATGTCAGACATAAATAGACTATGTTGATGTCAGACATAAATAGACTATGTTGATGTCAGACATGAATAGACTATGTTGATGTCAGACATGAATAGACTATGTTGATGTCAGACATAAATAGACTATGTTGATGTCAGACATAAATAGACTATGTTGATGCTGTCTCTTATACACATCTAGATGTGTATAAGAGACAGCTTCTAGTCTCACTAGTCTCACTAGTCTCACTAGTCTCACTAGTCTCACTAGTCTCAGCTAGTCTCTGCTAGTCTCATTAGTCTCTCTAGTCTCACTAGTCTCACTAGTCTCACTAGTCTCTGCTAGTCTCTGCAAGTCTCCACCAGTCTCTGCTAGCTGCTGGTCTCACTAGTCTCACTAGTCTCTACTAGTCTCACTAGTCTCACTAGTCACTACTAGTCTCACTTGTTTCACTAGTCACTACTAGTCTCACTAGTCTCTACTAGTCTCACTAGTCTCACTAGTCTCACTAGTCTCACAAGTCTCTGCTAGCTGCAAGTCTCACTAGTCTCACCCTGAGCAGCAGCTGGTAGTCGTTGAGGCGCTGTATGGGCAGCTGTAGGTGCTCCTGCAGGCGCTTCTCGTCACCGATAGAGCTGCTAAGATCCTGTGGTATAATATAATATAACATAATGTAATATAATATAATATAATATAATATAATATAATATAATATATTAAATTAATGAAAATATTATATTATAACTTTTGTAATTTACTAATGATATTATTTATTAATTATGTTTCTCATTGCAATAGAATATTTATATAATTACCAATGAACATATATAAGTTACATCATGAATATTATCAATATTCGTAGTTAAGAATGTTATAAATATTTTATTAAATATTTTTAAACTATGTGAATTATATCAGATATCGTTTATGAAAAATATTTATCATCATAATTGAATATAATTATTGTTTCCAATAAACAATTATAAGGTTTACCTTAATTTTTACTTTTTTAACTTTAAATATTATAAATATTTATAAATAAAGTTTCCTCAAAGATTTAGGATAAATACATACATATCTAAATATTGGTAGTATATACCGTAGACTTTAACGCGCGTGAGTCTCCTCATTTAGAAAAATGTGTGCGTCACATTTACCAAGTATTAACGCGATCAGATAACGGACGTAGCACTGATACGCCTCTATTTTGGGCCAAAGTGAATCAGGATGACCCAAAAATTTGCAGAATTTGCATTTTGCGACCAAATAATTTTATATAGGTTTCTATAGCCCTTGGCTTGCACCACAACTGTGGTAAAATGCAATCATATTTAAGCAATTGTGTTTGTACTTATGGAAAAATGGGATTTTTTATATTAACTCATATTTAGAATATAAATGTGTTATTTCCACATCGCTCTACGGAGATGAACTTTTCAGTCACACGGAAATACGCAAGATAAACATAGAAAATGTTACATAGGCTTTCACTGCCGAAGATGTTCATTTAAAAGTATGATTTCGTACACAGCTTAAATAAAGAAAAATGAATTCAGGTCGTGAATAAAAAAGTGTATGCGTAAGTAACGCATGAAAATGAGTGGAAGAATCATTTAATTGTAGATTTAATGAACGCTACGAGATGTAATGTAACATACGACGTTGCCACATCGTAAACAGCGGGTGTAATGTGATATGCGACGTTGCCACGTCGTAAACAGCGGGTGTAATGTGATATGCGACGTTGCCACATCGTAAACAGCGGGTGTAATGAGATATGCGACGTTGCCACACGTCGTAAACAGCGGGTGTAATGAGATATGCGACGTTGCCAAATCGTAAACGGTGGGTGTAATGTGATATGCGACGTTGCCACATCGTAAACAGCGGGTGTAATGTGATATGCGATGTTGCCACATCGCAAATGGTGAGTGTAATGTGATATGCGACGTTGCCACATCGCAAACGGTGAGTGTAATGTGATATGCGACGTTGCCACATCGCAAACGGTGAGTGTAATGTGATATACGACGTTGCCACATCGCAGCGCAAAAAATAAGACACTTGGCAACCTCACCAAACTGACCAGCCGCGGTCACCTCTAAGCTGAGATAAAAGAAAAAATTCGTAATCTTTCCTAATTCAACATAGAGTTGCTACGTCTGGGGTTGAATTATTAAATCTGAGGAAGAATTACGAAGTCTAGGGTAAAATTATGAATTCTGGGGTAGAATTACAAAGTCTCGGGTAGAATTATCAAGTCTGGGGTATAAATATTATATCTGGGGTCGAATTACCATTGAAACGGCATACGTTATGGGTAGAATTTTTGGGATAGCTACAAAATTTTTAGAAAGGTGGTGGAATCATCAGGTTGAGGGAAGAATTACAAAGTTAGGGTTAAAAATAATGCATAATTATTTTCAAACCTTAGTGTTCGGTCATATTTCCCTTCTACATCAGGCATTGCTCTACATTCATGTTGTTTAATATGTTAATAATAATAGATATAATTGCATATCTAAATATCTATAATATTTACTCACCATTTTTATGTAATCTATAATTACAAAATCTAATCTAAATTTAAAATCTATTATCACACGGACCCGCATGTTAATTTGTAAGATAAGATAAGAAATATTCGCCCACACTGATTGGCTCTGCCAACATCAGCATAGCAATGATTGGCGTTCAGAGGGAG